GGGATCGGCGGACGGCAGTGTGTAGCAGGCAGCCAGGCAGGGGAAACTAAGAAAGAGCGATGCAAGCAAATAGAATAATAGACAGGGAAAAGACAGTCTAATTACTTAGGTTGGGTGGCCGACGTTTGGTTAGAAATCCTAGTCGTTTACGGCTAAATGGCCATTTCCCATTCGGTGTCGGAATACCGAGCGACCGGCGGTATTTGATAGTTCTGATCACGGTACACCGCTAGCAACAATTCCTCCTCCGATTACCGTTTGCTTCGGTTAACGGTTTAACCGGTAACTGCATTTATCGGTACGGTTACCGGTTAAACCGTTAACCGCATTACCATTTAGCACCCCTAGTAACTCTTCTTTTATAGACAAAGCGGAAGTTACGGCTTCATCGGGCGAGTTACCGCCGTAATTCGGGCCATAACTCGTCTGACTCGGGGAGTTAGATGTTACGGTTTCATCGACTGAGTTACGGCGGTAGCTTCAGTCGTAACTCGTCAATTTTCCGGGAAAAGGAGAATTTATCGGCGAGTCTCAAAGTTACGGTCATGACCGTAATCATTGTGCCTCAGCCTGCAACTCAGGGAAAATTTTCCAAACGTTCCAGGTCTCAATTAGAAGTAACGTGCAAGGGGTGAAGTTACAGTCGCGACTGTAACTTTGCGTCCCAAGCCGTAACTCCTTGGAACGATCTGCCTTTTTCCGCCCAAACACGCCAGAAACACCCCTCAGACCTCCGAAATAAAAAATTCACAGAAAATGACCCCCCAAGTCACGATAATTGACCACAAAATTCCATGTTCGACACACGACACACACAAAATCACAAAACCAAAAAGAACCAGGGAAAGAAAATGCAAACCGAGATGGGATTGCCTCCCCACAAGTGCTTCTTTATCGTCGTTTAGCTGGACGCAGATGGCGGAACTAAGGGTCCGCAAGATCAACTGTCAAAACCGCGCATTCGACTTTGCCTCCCAAGTAAAACTTGAGGTGATGCCTGTTCACCTTGAAGGCTCAGTCTGCGGATTGGGGATCTCGATGGTGCCATAGGGAAACACTTGAGTGACCGCAAATGGTCCAGACCATCAGGAGCGTAGCTTTCTCAAAAAGAGTTGCAGGCAGGAGTTGTATAGAAGGACTCGATCGCCCACCTGAAACTCCTTCGGGCCTTTAAGACGAGCATAGTGGAGACGCTTGTTTCGTTCCTTATACAATCTGATATTTTCCTCTTCCATAGGTGTGATAACGCCACTCTTCTAGCTCCACCAGCTGCATTTTCCTCTAGGTACCTACAAGACTCAAAACAAGGTTTAGCAGCTTAAGGGCCTAGAAGGCCTTGTGCTCTAGCTCGAAGTGCAAGTGACAAGCCTTTCCATAGATTTGCCGATATGGAGAAGTACCAATTGGCGTCTTGTAGGCTATCCTATATGCCCAGGGAGCATCATCGAGCTTGGTAGACCAATATTTCTGGACTGATCAACTGTCTTTTCAATTACCAGTTCATCAGCTCAGCCTAACCATTCGTTTGGGGATGGTAAGCTACTGACACCTTATGCTTAACATCATAGAAAGATAGGAGTTTAGTGAATTGTCATTGAAAATAGGTTCCTCTATCGCTAATGATGGCTCGAGGTGTCCCGACTTGGGAAAAGAGTTGCTTCAAAAACGAGCAGACATGTCTTGCATCATTGGTGGGCATGGCTTGAGCTTCTGCCAACCTCGAGATGTAGTCCACAACAACCACAATATATAGATTACCTAAGGACGGAGGGAAGGGACCAATGAAGTTGATGTTGATGCCCCAGATATAAAAAAATCTCACAAGCCACAAACGACTTCTTGGGCATCTTATCACGGGCATATATATTACCTGACAGCTGACAGAGGTCACAATGGCGTGCAAAAGTATTAGCATCCTTGAAGAGCGTGAGCCAGTAGAAGCCGGATTGTAGCACCTTCCGCATCGTGCGGTTTCCTGCATGATGACCGCCAGCGGGTCGCTCATTATAGTGAGACAGGATGTCTTTCATGTCATGCTTCATCACGCATCGTCGTATCACGCCATCTTCTCGACTCTTAGATGGTACCAACTACATACCATATGGTATCTTCATCGTTTTTAATTCGTTTTTGAAAAATTTTGCACAAAAGAATCGAGTTCATCATGATCTATTGGATCTACAAATTTCTGGGTGAACAAAATACAAGACAAAACAATACCACACAATACCACCCTGGTACGGGGTGGTATCTTGTTGTACATAATGTTAAAAGTCGTAAATGACAGTTAATATACTTCTACTATCATGTATTCAACCATCCTACAGTCTTGGTTTGTTTATACTACAATGGTACACTTTTCAAACATAGGTATGCTCTTATTTCAATACCATATGGTATAGACTGGTAAAAATTGGCTCAATTTTTTTTTTGTTCCAAAAATATATCAAAGTGGATATAATTTTGAAGAGCACAATTAATATGATAAAAAAAAATTAAATTTCGACTTAAAACGAGTGAGAAATCATCCATTAAGGATTGGGGGGGGGGGGAATTAAAGGCTTTACAGGAGAGACAAGAGGTGTTGATGTGGCGGATGATAATTGGGTTATGCATGGTTATTGCTCAGAAGGTTATTGACTGAATCTGCTCCCGAAGAATCCTAAATTAGGTCAATTCCGTTCCTTTCTAATACGCCAAACCTTTTTTCATAATTAAAAATTATTATTTGCTTTATAACCTCATAATAATTTTTATATATTTTATAACAATCATTTATACGATAATCACTGTCAGTGGAACGTAGTTATAACTAAAATACCAAAGTTATAGGAATGAACTATGTGGATTTTGATCTAGTGTTGTGCGTACGTAGGCAACCATAAAGGTTCGAGTCCAACTAACTAAGTAATTTTAGGGTTAATACCACTGGGAAACCCAAACTATCAAAAAAGTGTAATTTGTGTCCCAAACTATTCAATATTTCATTTACTTCCAACGTATGGTAGTTGTGTGTCATTTATGCCCTAACGATTTCGTTAACCATTACAGATAACAGTTGATCAGATGGTGGTCAACTTGAAGTTGACTTAGGAGCATAATCGAAAGAGTGACTTAGACGATTTGAGAATTTTTTGAACTTTTTATTTTTCTTATTTTAATAATTTTAGATGAAAATATAAATAAAAATTAATGTTTAAAATTTCATATCAGATGCCACGTTAATAATGACTGAATTTTCTGTTAAATATTGACAGTCAAACTCGGTCAACACTAATGAAAAAATAGTTCAGGAAATAAGTGTCATATTTAATAGTTCGGGACACAAGTGACACTTTCTTGATAGTCCGGGTTTCCCAGTGGTATTAGTCCTTAATTTTTTCTTTGAATTGTTGTTTACACCAAAATAATTTTCATTAATTATTACATGTATGAACAGTTTGACCACTTTAAGTAGCTGGTCTACTTGTACATGGATGGTCCAATTTATCAAATTTGGCCGTAGAGTTGGTGGATGGTAGCTCAGGTATGGATACCATCCAAATCTCATAATGGATGGTAGTATCTAACATTATGGATACCATCCAAATCCAATAATGGATGGTAATGTCCAACATTACGGATATCATCCAAATCCAATAATGGATGGTAGTGTCCAACATTATGTATACCGTCAAAATCTCATAATGGATGGTAGTGTCCAGCATTACGAATACCATCCAAATCCCATTATGGATACCATCCAAATCCCATTATGGATACTATCCAAATTCCATTATGGATAGTAGTGTCCAACATCATGGACACTATCCAAACCTTATGATGGATGGAACCATCCAAGATTAGGGACGCCATCCCAAATGTAATGGACACCATCCAAACTCAAAGTGGATGGTGCCATCCAAAAATATGGATACTATCCAAGTTATTTGGTGTATGGTGACCATCTAATTGTTCATCCATGGTGCGTAGGGTTGATTGTCCAGGGACATGATGACGTGTCAAAGGTGGTTAGCAGAAGCAGCAGCTGACTTGCAAAGGACGCTTAGAGGAGTTACTGGATTCTACGTGGAGCTGATTTTCGGGAAGAGAGAGTGAAGGCGGTTAGAGAATGAGGCACAACAAAACTGGCAGCAAGATTCTGGAGACAAGACAGACAAATCAAATCACAAACCTTCCCGTCAAAATTTATCTTTTCTCTCTAGAACAATAACCGTAGTAGTAGCACCAGGGACCCTTCAACGAGGCTTCTCTGTTAGTGGTAGTCAGTAGTTGCGGACTCTCAAGGAATCTCCATAGGAGTAGAGGTAAAAGTAGCCAGATCCTTTGATCAATGCATCAAACACCCTCGTTCGAATAGTGTTTGAAGAGGTGTGAACCGAGTAACATCATTTTCTGTTTTCTTGAAGTCAGGGTGCATTGATCACGCGAAATTCCACCTGAAACAATTGTACGCCAGTGGGCGTATAATCAAACTATAAACTAATACGATAAAACTCTTTAGCAGTCTAGTGGGACCTAAAAATACACCCAACACATATAAACTTAACAAATTTAAGTAGTACCAATTTTCGGCGTTGTGGGGTGTGAGTTCACTTCCCACACATAACCGTAATCTGAACTAAGATTTATATTTTGCATACCAAGTCTCGATTCTGACTCTAAGGATAGAGCCGACCGAAGAGTGTTCGATCTACTCTAAGTAACATCGTTGGCGATCCCAAAAGCGAACACGACGTTCCAAGGGACGATTGTAACATACTCAATGCGAGATTATTCGGTTAATGCTATGTTGAGGCATAAACATCCCACAATACTTCACACATTGTGACTTATCTCGTCGCGGAACACGGATGAAGTCCTAGTTTAACTACTATTTTGTCATGAAAAAAAGGGTCAATTTTTTTTTTTTTAATGAATTTCTTCCCAGTTTTTCGTTTCCATTCGTTCATTTCAAGTATTTAGTCAAATCTTAATTCTCAAAAGCTTCCCTTTCCGCGTGACCATCTCTCTTCCTTGTCTCTCACCAAAAAAGAAATCTCTATTCCTTGTCCACCGAAAAGGGAAAAGAGTAGGAGAAGAAAGGAAGAAAGCAGGGCTAAACCGGAAAGCAGAATCAACACGCCCAAAATTCCCCCAAAATTTGGATCAAAGTTTCGGAGACTTGGGTAATCTCGCCGCGCAGTACCAACAATGGCTGACGAGGGCGGATAGAGAAATGTCCTTTTCATATTGTCAGATTTGCTTCCTCCCCTAGCTACGGACGTTTCTCTTCTCCTCTCGCGTTCAATAATAATGGTGTTTCCTTATGTTTTGGGTTTCCCCAAGTCTCCAAACCAAGGCTAACCTAAACTTTTCTTCCCCTTCTTCTTATCCCCTCCGGCTGCCCCCTTGTTTCTTATTTCTGGTCTCATTTTTGGGTTTCCCTTTCTGACTGGTTTCTACTGCTCAGCTATGTCTGATTTAGTTGCAAGGACTGGTCGACATCAGCAACGGTACGAGGGCGGCTGTCGCCTTGTGGCTGGGTAAGAACAAAATCCCTTGTTTAAATCTTTTCCATTCCAATACTAGTCTGCTTCATGATGTGATTCGTTCCTCCCTTCATGTCTTTTCTCCTGCAATATGGTTTATTGTTGTTTCGCGGTTCTTGGATTTTGGATGCTTTGGTTGATAACAATAGCTTGACAAAAATGGGGCAGGTTATTGGTAAGTCTTGTCACATAACATAATAGCTACTAACTCTATTGCTGAATTGCGGATTTGTGGCTTGATTGATTTCTTTCTTTAGTATTTTTGCATACGGTTCATTGCTCTGTTCAATTGTGGAATGAGTCATAATTGGATCATTTCTGATCCGTCAAACTTTATTGTGGCTGGTGATTGACATGCTATGCTATCCACCTTTCTTTTGTATGTATGATGGTAGAGTTGTTGTGGAATATCATCCTCAAGAGTCAAGAGTGGTTTGGCTGGCTGGCTGGCTGGACGTCAATCAAATCATTGGCGTCTCGCTTTTTCCTGTTCCTTGGGTCGAATTTGATCATGGAATCTTGCTATATGGTCTGGAACCTAAATTATATACGATTTAACACAGTAGGCTGGAGAAGCACTTTTCCAAAGTGGTCAATTTACTTAGAAAATTCAGAAATGGTGTCTTTCTCATGGTTGGCCATCTTAGGATATTTTCTTTCCCATTTTCAGTAATCTTTATTGATTTGTTTCAAATTGCATTTTAGTTTGGAAGTATCCCTTAAGAGGAGGTCAGTCGCTTACAGGATCTTTTTATCCAGTGGATGAAACGAATCTGGCAACATGACCCTTGGAATCATATATTATAGAGGGTGTAAGCTTCAATTCATAGCAATGATCTAGTCATAAATGTTCGTATAGGCTTAGGTAGCCATATCCAACTGAAAGAGTTGAGGAGTTGGAGGTTTCCTTCCATTTTAGCTATGCCGTAAAAGATTGAAAGGTCAACTATCATATAATGGAACATGCTCATATGGTGTTATTAAGATGGGAAAAGAGAAAATGAAAATGGTATGCTTGTAGTCGTAATTGTTTGGTTGGTAACAAATTGATTGCTTTTGTTTTGTGTGAAAAGATATGGAAATGGATTGTTTGATTGATTGAGTGTTACTGTTTGAGGTTCTATAGGCATTTTGCAAATCGTGATTCTCTAACTCGGCAAAGCTGTATCCGCAGGTGCATTCCATTTAGGTATAGAGAATGTGATGATAATGGTGATACTAATTCTGGGAAGGTTGTTGAGGTCCTCATGATCAACTCCACCAGTGGTCCTGGTTTATTGTTGCCAAAGGTATAGCAAGACTCGAGCTGTGTTATATTTTTTGCTTATATTCTTAAGTTGATCAAGTGTGGCCACGAGGATGACACTTTTTAAGTTCGCTTGTTTAACATGATCTAGTTTGGCTTTGTTGTAACTTCTCGTTGAAGCTTTTATAAAGGTATTTTTCAAAATAAGCAATTGAGTGTTTGAATGATAAAATTTATTGGGAGCAATTTTAATATAAGAGGTGATGTAAAATGTACGAAAAAGAATTTCAAATCTAAAATATATTAATTTTTTATACAAATTGTCATACTTGATCTTGTTGGATTTTTTTTTTTATATCCAATAATAATATTATTTTCTAAATTTTTTAGTTTAAGAATGATATAAATTAAAGAAAATAATTTTTTAATAAAAAATTAAATATGTTAAGGATAATCTAGTATTTTAAAAGAACTTTTGAGAGAATTTCCAAATTAAAGCTTATGCTTTTATGAGTTAAAAAGTTTTAAGTTCTTTCAAAAGCTTTTGTAAAAAAAAAAAAAAAAAAAAGTTCTTTCAAATGCTCATCTGACATCTGTGGAGTTGTTTAGTATGGTTTAAGTTTTTTTGAGCAAAATAACACTTCAAAAAAGTTACAAAATCTGTGTATGTCATGAAAAAATATAATCGAACTGGAATAGTGATTATCTCTATATTAGTAAACATTATTTATGCATGTGTAGGGAGGGTGGGAGAACGATGAGACTGTTAAAGAAGCAGCAGTAAGGGAAGCTATAGAAGAAGCTGGAGTTCGAGGTGATATATTGGTAAGTTTTTCGGCCCTAATATATTTCCTGCATGATATTTTAGATCCAACCAAAATTCTGGATGGGGTATTGTAATAAGTTATTTGAGTTAAAAATAACTTTGTTTGACAAAAAATCGAATGAGATGTGGTATTTTGGAATAAGTTATTTCAATTGACTCACTTTTGTGTTATTTCAAATAACACTAGAAAGTAGCATAGTCAAAAAATTTGTACAAGGTGGGTTTAAATTTTTCCAGAAAACATTTAAAGATAATTTTAGACCCTTGTCTTGCATATTGTTCTCATATTTGCAAAATATATACGACACATTTATATGATTATAACCTCAATATATTCAATCAAACAATTATTATGATTTTTTTACTTATTCAATATTAAAGAGTGTTGTTCACGTAGCTCATTGTAGATGTTCTTTCTACACTTGCCGTTGAGGCTAGTAGCAAAGCTAACTTGCTTATTTCAATGACTATGTTCCTGAAAAACTAAAAATTCTATTTAATTCTAGAAAACCTCTAGTCTACACAATACATATAATAAGTAATGAGATTCCAATTGAAAGTATCATTATTAGTGAACTCGCTATTATGATAAAATAAATTTAACGAGTTTTAACAAGAGGAGGATTTTGTCCAAGAAGAAGACTTAATTAAGAATTTGAGACGTGAGAGTGAAGTTTTCTATTTAGTTCTAGTAGAAATTTGGTCTATCTTCACAATATATATAAATATAAATAATGTGTTTGAGATTCCAAATCTAAGGTATTATTATTAGAGAAGTCATTATTATTTTTTTATTTTTTAAAATTATTAGAGAAGTCATTATTATGATAAAAGAACAGGATTTTGTCAAAGAAGAGGAACAAAATAATGAATTTGAGACATGAAGAATGAAGATAATTAATTTCCGACATTAATGTTCCATTGTTTGTTAAAAGCATTAGTAACGCATCATTTTGCTCCAAATTAATTTTGCATTTGATTGGTAGGATTTCATAGGGGATTATCACTTCAAGAGTAAAACAAATCAAGAGGAGAGTTGTACTGAAGGGTTGTGTAGAGCTGCCATGTTTGCATTGTACGTGAAAGAAGAGCTGCAGTCATGGCCAGAGCAAAGTACTCGTACAAGGAGCTGGTTATCTGTTTCTGAAGCGGTTGAGAGTTGTCGACATGAATGGATGGAAGATGCTTTGAAGCACTTTGCAACTTGGCTCAAAGATAAAGACGTAAACTAGCAGTGATCTCCCCATTATTAAGACTTTGATATGATGTATGTTAGGAAAAGATGCACAAACCCTCACCCTGGTAATTCTCAGGGCCTGTTTTCTTTCTTAAACAACCCCGATAACAAGATAGTAGAAATGGGGAAAATCCGGGAAATAGTTCTTCCTTTTTGGTTATCTCTAGTCTTTCTTTTTCCAATTAACAATCTGACCCATCTATATTGTTTACTAAAGATGGAGAATCAATAGTATTTTTAATGGATATTTCAAAATGGGACAACAACATACATAATAGCAAGTTATTTTGGATCTCGATCATGATATATAAAGAAGATAAACACGAGAGTTGGCAAGTAGTTTACTTATTATAAGAGAGCTTTAGTTATCACGGGATGAATAGTACTTTGGACGAGCCTGTAACGAATCAATGTGTGGGTAGGGGGTTAATTGTAATATGATTTAGTTTGGAGAGCAATGTGTAATTAGTGTGTCGGGGCAACGAAAATCAATTACAGAAACTATCTTCCCTGCTCTTTTTCTTCCCCCTTACCCCTTTCCTCTGTATTCTCCTCTGTTCCCTTCTTCCTCCTCAATCCCTCCTTTCCAACACTTTCCCTTCCTATTCGCAGAATCCAAACAACTTGCCAAGACTATTCTTCCTCCCAGGGTGTGACAAGGTGGTATCAGAGCCCTGTCTTGGCTTCAATGGCGACTACGCGTGGTACAATCGACGAGCGTTTCACAAATTTGATGGCGTCGACGGCTCAGGCGGAGGCGGAGCTGGACGACAAGATTGGCGCGGTTCGTGAGCTGGTCAATTCCCATACGGATCAGTCACAGGAACTCATGGCTAGGGCTTGTTAGAAATCAAACAGGAAAAATTAGGGTTACCGATCTGGCTGAGTCGCGGACTAGGTCGCTCTCTTTAAGACGTTCGCGGCACTGCCTTCGTTGCGCACGACAGACTATCAGCCGGTCGCCTCCAGGGTAAAACAACCACTCTAAATTTGTTTCTCATCGGTTTTGTGCGAAAACCGGAGCTCTATGAACTCACTCTCTATCTCGTGTTTCTGCTCTCTCTGAGGTGTGTTTAGAGGGTCTGGGGCGTCTCCTATTTATAGGAGCAGAAAACCCAGAATATTTCCTCTTTCTTTGGGAATAAGTCATATTTTAATTAGGGAGATAATTACTCTCATAATTAAAATATAATCTATTAAGATAATTATTCCTAATTATCTCCATAATATTCCTTTTATTAATTATCCATCTTATTTATGTATTATGGGAAAATACTGGATAATTAATTATGAATTTCATTTATAGCTTTTCAAAGCTATTCATCCCAACAATCCCCCACTTGAATAGTTTTGAAACTATCTTGAGCATCAACCGTTCCATAAGATCGGGCATAAGCTAAGGTATCGGGAAGATTTGAACCTTAACGTAGTGGTTACACTTCCGATTTCATAAGGGTGACTCGTAGTCTTGAACCCTATCTCAGACAATGTAGCACACCGGATCTTTTCATTGAGTGATATTCTCTCATAGGCCGTGCGTTTATGGCCATGCACGTTATCCCGGTTTAGTGAACGCTCTAGCAACTTTGTGCCTCCAAAGTTCCATAGGGAGCGGCCCCACTCCCACATTCACATAGGTGAGTCTATCAGAAGTACCCCCAAAGTAAAGTACTTCACTCCACATAGAGTATAGATCTCATTAAGAGTTTAACTCAACCTCCAAGGCTTTGGGATTCATGCTTCACTATGCATGAACTTTTCGCATACTACTCATGACTTGTTATTACCCATTGAACCAATTTCTTGGGATCTCCAGTCTATTGGGTCGGGTTACCATCACTTGTAGTCCGTGGTTCGGTAGGCATAAGTCTCATACCGTTGGCGGTATTTTGGACTTTCTCTCTAGATAATCCTTTCGTCAAAGGATCAACTAGATTCTGTTAGGACCTTACAGGATCCACCCTCATTGTTCCTTTCGTTAGGAGTTCTCTTACAGTACTGTGCTTACGACGAATTTGTCGTCTCTTTTCGTTCTAGAACCGGTTCCCTTCTATTGCAATAGCTGCGGTGCTATCACAATTAATCAACTACAGGAGGGATCGGTCTTTCCCATAAGGGAATCTCTAGTAGTGACCCTCTCAATCAACTTTCCTCTTTACTAGCCATTGCTAGTTCTATCATTTCTGATTTCTTAGTTGATTGAGCCAGGATCGTTTACTTCTTAGACTTCCAAGACATAGCTTCTCTATCGATGTTTAAAACACAGCCTCTTGTTGTCTTGGAGTCCTCTATAGGGTATTCTAATCCGCATCACTATACCCTACCAATACAGCAAAACCTTTGATAACAAATACCAAGGTTTTTCTGTTCTTTTAAGGTGTCTCATGACCCCTTTCAATAGCATTTCAATGCTTCATACTAGGACAATCAGTAAGCCTGCCAAGTACCCCCATTATGTCGGGTCTCATGTTTATCAGCTGCCTCTCGCAGACTGTCGATGCTAGTATGTTCTTACTTTCTTACACCGTCTTTGGTGCTCTTAAAAATTATACTAGCACCATCAAATATTTATGCAAGTGTAGAACTCGTATTTCCTCTAGATCTAACTGTATATTTAAACTGATCTAGATGAAATCTCTTTCATTGTCCTAGTAATCTGGATCTCCGAGCATAACACTTGCTTCATTCAGATCTTTCACATTCAAAATTCTCAACCATCATGGTTTTTCAATATTGACGTCACGAGTCTTTGTATCAAAGATCGACGTGCCATTCATAATGCAAGTGTCATTCTCAAATTTGTACTAAATGCACTTGTCACTTTCACTTTTAAAACCATGAGAGAGAGAACCAGTTTATTCATGCCATCGTCTTAGAGTCTATTTCAAATCTTAGAATGATTTGTCTAACTATAGACTCCCTAAGCATGTTCAAGAATAACAACCCTATAGGTTGTCCTATGTAGATTTTCCTATCTAAATCACCATTCACAGAAACATGTTTAACAATCCAGCTGACGCATAACACTAGCAATCAGAACATACATAGATGTTATTCTACATATGGTGAACAGATAACAAGAAAATTTACAAATTTTTCCTTTTCGCTTAAAGCCTTAGCTATTAGGCGATCCTTATACTCATAAACTAAACCAATAGGTTTCAGTTTTCTTTTAAGAATCCATTTATTACCCATGACTTCATTGCCAAGAGGTAATTCTCAAAGATGCCAAATATTGTTCGATTCTCTCGATATATTACCCAAGGCTTTTCAACCAAGAGGTAACTCTACAAGATTTTAAGTCTTATTAGACTCTAATAATTCCATTTCTTTAATAATGGGTTCTCCCACAATTCTGCATCTTTATGGAAGTTCGAACTTCTAGCAGACTTGTAGGATCTTTCTTTCTTAGGGTGTAAATAACAATTCATAACCAAAAACCTTAAGAGATTTCAGGTTCATTTGCTTCTTCTGAGTTTAAACTCAGATTTATTACCCCCACTAGTTCCATTATTTCTAATAGTAGGCAGGACACTACCCCCACTATTTCTTGATTTAAAATGGAAGTTTCTTGGCATTAATGGATTTCACAACAACATGAGTATTTCGTTTCATAGGAACTATGTGTTTTTATTGTTAACAACATAAAACACACTCATATGCTCTTCTAGTTATCATGCTACACTGATTTTCTAACGCTACCACATGCATGCCACATATCGAATAATCAGTGCAATCATAATGCAATTAGGCATTTCAAACCATTTCAAATAACTAGTCAGACAATCAGAGCACTCTAAAGAGAAATAAATTGTTTATTGTCTTTTCCATCAAGTTTACCCACATAAATCAGATCTATTTATTCTGATTCTCTAATCACATATTTATGGGTCATTTAGCTTGGATATAGAAAATTCATATTTTTCTCAAGCATCCAATAATAATATGGGAATGCGATATAAGATATTCTAATTCTTTACACAGACACACTTGGAAGAATTTATCTTATCTACTTAACCATTCCTTACATCTAGGATAGTCAATGACTTTCTAGAGGCAGGGTTCTCTTTCACTTTTCCAGAACCATCAACAATAGTGGTGAGGGTCTTGCCCAACAACACTTTCTCCTTCAATACGCGTCAATGTATGATTGAGCTTAGCTCGTTTATCACACACATATCTTGAAGTGGTCCTATCCAACAACCATTCTTCAGAGTTACCATTAAGGCTAACCTCTGTCATCACCTAAGCGATTATTATTGGCAAATCCTCTTCTTTAATCAAGTTAACACAATACTAGGTTAAACTTGCTCTAACACTTTCGTGTCATATGACCTAGTTCTTCTCAAATTTAATTGAGAAACATAGCGCCATTCTTAGAGAATTGTGTTACAATCTTATGGTTACCAAGATAGGTACCATTCTAATTGGTGTGGATCTGGTTCAGCTTGCTGCTCTTTTTCTTGAAACTTTAATGTTTCACAGCAACCTAAGTGGTTCGTGTAGTACTGATAATAGTACTTCTTATAATATCGTTATTATGGGCAATAAACCCATTCTATTCCCATATATTCTTCACATATATGCATTCATTTAAACAAAATCATTATACTCCATAGCATGTATTCAATTTATGCTCTAATCATCGAGATACGTAATATATCTCAATGTCAACTTATCATGCAACAATTCTCATTCAATGCATAAAATCATACAACATAGATTTTATTTTGTCATTTATTAATGACTCGTGAGGAAGGTTTTCATTCTTACCTCTATTCGAGAAACCATTGCTTTTTGATTTTGCAACCAATAGCTACAAGCACCTCACATCTCTGTTTCTCTTTTCCAAGCAATTCTTCTTCCATAGCTGCCACAAATCGGAGCAGCAGAATGAATCAGTTCCAACATTTTAGAAGAGCCGCATACCCACGACCTGGGTCCACTATCACGGCTCCATAGTCATCGGAGCGGATATCTTCCTTTCTTCCCTCCGCCTCGTTATCTCGTCCAAAAAGAAATGGAAGATCAATTTCTATTGTGGATTTACACAGAACAATAAAATAAATAAATAGAGAAACCATGACACAAGAGGCAGCTTGCAGTCGCAAAGTAAGAAGATCAATTCTTCTTTCATGCCTTGCTAGCACTCGAGAGCTTTTGGGCCGAAAAATCCAGAGTGTAAGCCATTCTCAATTGGTGAGACAATTAAAACATGCGACCTGCAACCTGCAACAACTAGCAGACAAGACTCCCAGACACATATATAATATATAAGTACATCTT